CAAGTGGGGATGGTTATGAATGGTTTGCTTCACAAAAACCATGTGATTGGAGGATGAATATTATGGCACAGGAAAGATAGTCATTATATACCTGTGGTTCTTCAGAATTTTTTAATCTCTTTTGCAGAGGTTCATCCTGTAGCAATGATGGTGATATTGGTCTTTTCACAGATTTCCCTGCATTTGGTGAAACACCTTCCACAGAACTGCTTTTGGACTATCACAAAAATAGAAAAAGTGGTAAGAACTTGACACCATAGAATAGAGCAGAAGTTACTACAAGGCATGTAGATTGTTTTTGAATAGTATCTTTGAGATCAAACTGCATGCACAGAAATCAAAGTGAACTGCACACATGTAAGTACTACAAAACATTAGGTATATCAGTGTTTTGAAATGACATTGCTTAACCACTTACCTCCATACTAACACTGAGAGATGCATCTCCACCACCAGTTGTGGCTGGCATATCATTCCCAACATTTTTGGAATCACCATTTTCACTTTGTACTGATGTCTTACTGGTATTTTTCTTTAATGCTAAGGTACCATCTGATTCTCGATAACTACTGTCATTACTAGATTCATCATCAATCAGCCAGGTCTTCTTTACACTACTTGGTGTCCTATTGGGGGTATTACTAGTACTACTGGTACCTGTCTCTCTTGTTGGAGTGTTAATGCCCTCACCTGGTTGTAAAGACTTCTTTTTATTACTTTTCAGAACACTCTGAGGTAGATAGTCACCGAGCTGCTTCCTGTAAAACAGCAATGACAATGCATACTAACAGCCACAATTGGATTTTCATCAAACCTAGCCATATTTTTACATCTTTAACATCCATCAGTCATCTGCTGCATCATGTTCCCTTCCAAAATGCCCGAGAGAATTCTGTCGTTACAACACACCATTCTGACTGGTTAATACCAGACCTGACCTATCAGGGCAAGGGATGTTGTTTCAGGGCAAATTCTGTGAGAAAACACTATGGCAAAAATTAGTTGGCATCAAGAGTTTGTGCATGATTGAAAACATTGACAATGAAAGAAAGATAATGATAAAGGTCTCGACTTTGACAGTTTTCCTACAGACCCTAATCACTTTTTGTGACCATTTCTGTTTCCTCATTGAAATAGTGTCAAATTAATGACATTCTGACAAGTTTCGCAATTTTATTTTCCCCTCAATATATAATATTCCCCCTAATCTGGCACATGGACAAATTTCCCCCACTCCTAAAAATATGATTTCTTGAGTACCCTGGACACCTTGTTGGATGATCGTGGTAAACTATCCAATACCCGTCTAATATTTTCCCACCTCAATATTATATTGTGCTAAATTTTGACCTGTTATAATTAAATAATAAGACTTACTTTTTGACATGTTTAGCTTCTAGCTTCATGCCCTCTTTATACATATTAGTAGAAACAGCTAGCCTGTATACAGTATCAGTAAAACTCTGGATGTCATAGGTAAGGTCTACATTCATATTCTCTAGTTTCTCAAATGAAAGACCAATAAACCACATAGAACACAACACAGGTCTACAGAGAAACAGTAAAGAGTTATCAGATTTGCTGGCACTGATAGTTACAATTATCTGGCAAGGAAGTCCACACACTAAACACACCCTATGTGGTAGAGTATGTCACGTATACCAAGCATAAATTAAAATTAAAAATACTGCAAAAGCATTAATTTTTTACTGTTTTGAAATTTTAACACATTAAGTAGATTTTTAAATTCACAGTAAAACATCAAATTCTACAGTAATTGACCAGATTCTTATGTATATATTTTATCAAATTCATTTCAAACACAATTAGAAGCCAGTGAAAACATTTACAGTTTTCATTTCTTAGCAAAAGTAACAAGGGAATCAAGTGTGGTAGTAATTGCTTCAAGAGGAAAAAATAGTACCATCAGTTTGACTCTCGCCTTACCTAAGGAAATGATGGAAAGAAACAATATCAATAGTTGAGAAATCATATCATAAAAATTTATTATGTGCCGATTATTACCACACCAAACTTTCATTGAGAACAATGGCAAAGTGGTCTTACTTATCTTCTATCTTCTCAGATGACGTCATGGGTGAAAATGCCTCCGGATTTACATGTGCTAACGTAATACATAGATTCCTCTCTAAATTACCAGTTAATAATCGAATCTTGGATTCAACCAATCCAATCCTGGGAATGACAACAAAATAGGTCAGCTGTAGCATTTGACACATTTTAACAATTATGCCTTGTGGAGACAAGGCCATCTAGGGCCTAAATCGTTTTTGCCAACATTGTTAAATGATCTGTGTTTATGAATATGTGTTAACAGTGTTGGACCATAAGTGTACTATTATGCAAATTAGCTAATTAAATGCCAACTGACTAATAAATGTTGGTACCAAATACTAAACAAGTCTCATTTCTTGCTCCTAACTAATTTACATCCTATTAGTGGTTGTGGTAATAATCATTGAGATAATGGTATCCACGAAAACATGGTATTTGGCACATCCTAACCTTGCATACTGCACAAATTTACTTGGTATCTTTACTTGGTATCTCTCAGTTTGTGCACATGACATTTGTGTTTCTTATATTACTAGAGCATGCTGTAAAACTCAATTGCATCTTACATCATCACTCTGAGTGATGGGCTGACTACCTAGGTGTTTGACAAATGAACTCTGAGTGATGGGTTGACTACCTAGGTGTTTGACAAATGAACTCTGAATGATGGGTTGACTACCTAGGCGTTTGACAAATGAACTCTGAGTTTGGTTGCTCACATAGCCGACCACCAAATACTCTGAGCGCAAGGCATTGACTTACAACAAGAAAGTCCTTTTTGTATGGTGTATGTTAACAATTGATGATCAGCAAGATCAACATGTTTACTATCTTTTCAGTCATTCTTTGAACGATTATGTTTAATTAAATATTGCTACACTACAGCAAGTTATTATCAACATTGTCGGTAAATGTACAGCAATTGCTTCCAATGTTGTTGAAGTTGTTTTGCTACAATAAAATTTGTTTTAATACATGGCGGAATACTTATTCAAAGTAGAGTTTATTTATTATCGGGATACAAGAATTATACCAATATATATATCACAAGCTGAGTTTCATAGTGATGACTTTGATTACAACAGTTTTATCGACCGCCTCACTAGCGAAACACCATTTTTGGCTATTTTTACGGCGAATGAACACACTTCGCATTCAAATTATGGAAGAAGAAAATCAGAAATTGGATTTGCCAACAAACCATCGATTCAAACAGTTGGTCATCGACAATCTTCGTTCAACTACACCAGGGGGCATAATTAAGGCAAAACTATTCATTCTGGATGGGTCATCATCTACGATGAAACAGAATAAAAACCAACTGTGTGAACCGACTGCCAGCTTATCTACTGAAGCCGGTAAAAAATAAAAGCGGATAAAACTAGACTTTCACTTGGACACACACGCGGTTGCTAGATCCGCTATGGACTCAGACAATTTTTTACATATATTATTCGCAGTAGATTTCGTCGAACCAACCCTTTGGGCTATGTCAGCAAAAGATATTCCTTCTAAATACAGCTCAACTATCTTTTCGCGAATCGCAGGTGGAGTCAGAAATCCCTGTATACTGACTGCGCTGTGAATGTGACAGTCACAGTCAACGAGTGCGTGATTGGACAGTGGAACGGCGACTTGAAGTCTGGGTGTGTCGCAAATGTATCAAAACAAACTTGATTGTAGCAAAACAACTTCAACAACATTGGAAGCAATTGCTGTACATTTACCGACAATGTTGATAATAACTTGCTGTAGTGTAGCAATATTTAGTTAAACATAATCGTTCAAAGAATGACTGAAACGATAGCAATATATAGATTGTGAGGATTTACAACAACTGGGCGTGGCACTTGCTGAATTTCCCAAACCTTGACAGCTCTCCTGACTGGAGTGCTATAAAGTATTTACTACCATGAAATCTGTCCATGCTTACTGTTGTTACATTAATCTCACTTTCTGTCATTGGATAGACTGTCCATGAATATGCATCTTGTAAACATAGGCTGATTTTATAGACATTGATTTGTAAGGGAAGAGGTCATATACATATAAAATAAATATTTAAAGTTTGGTAATGTCTCAGTTTGCACACATACATCATGCATGTATGGCACAATGAGCACTTAAGAATCAATTTACATACAAAGAACCAGCTTACCATTCCAGGTGATGTTCCACTGTTGTAGCACTGGCACTTAACACAATATAATGCCTGTAATACAATAAAAGAATCAATAAAATTAATTGCGGCCACTGATCACATAACATTTTGAATTATAATGTTATTACACAATTAAGGATGCTGTATACGTTTTTGGTATTGATTTTCTAAACTGATATTTTCATATAAAATATTTACTGAACCACACAAAGCCATATATTGATGGAAAGCCTATTTCACACTGAATATCGACAAGATAGTGTGTGTATGGACGTGTATAGTTACAGCAAACAACCGAGAATGCTTGATTTTGATGATTTTTTTAGCACAAAAATGGCCACCATTCGGCTATTTTTGATAGGATCGTCAAACCAATATATTTGTATATCTATGACATGATGTATAATAAATATTTAAAATTTGAAAATAATCAGTCACCGCCAGTAGGCCATTTTGAATCTTATCTGAAAACAAAATGATGTGCATCAAGGTCCTATAAAATGTCCAACATATACTAAGTTTGAGCAAAATCCATCTGTAAACAGCCAAGAAATGCTTGATTTTGGTGATTTTTAGAACAAAAATGGCCGCCATTCGGCCATCTTGAATCAGATCGTAAAACAAATTGATGTGCATACTGTAAAGGGGGTAATTATTCACTGGGTTTTAATTTAGCTTATTTCGCTGACTGGAAAAATGCGCTAAATTAAAATACAGTGAATATGTAAAAATTTTCTAAATGACGAAACCGTGAATTTAAAACCCACTGAATATGCCTGAAATGGTAAATCAGTGAAATTTAAACCCAGTGAAAATTAGTCATTTTACAGTATGTATAATATCATGTATGATGTATGTGAAGTTAGATTGTGATTGGTCCAGGCATTTTTAAGATACAGGTCCGGACGCACGGAGGTCAAAACATACCGGTAAGTCCCTCTTTTCGGACTGCGTCCAAACAGGGACTAATAAAACAAGGATGCTCACACACAGACGCGTACGTTTTCTTTTACAGCTGCTTGTCTCAGGCTTTACGTGTGGCCAAGTCTGGGGCCAAGTGTTTCACTTCCGACTCATTGTCACGGTGATCAGGGTGTCAACGAGTCCATGACACGTAATTTGGTCACGAAAACTAAGTCTGCCATGTGCTCAAATTTTCTATCTCCATGGTCTGATCGATTAAATCGTGGAAGGTACTAACGTTAATAGCTTCCATGATTAAATTTTCATAATAATCGCTTTACATACTGTCGATGTTCTTCTCCAAATTTCCTTGGATTTGTTTTTTTTCGTCCCTGTCATAGTCGACCCCAAGATGGTTTCATAGTTGATTGCTTGAAGAGCGAGAAATTCAACTAAATTAAATTTGTGGACGATCGTAAATGGAATGCGTGTAACTTGTACCTTGGACTACTACCGGAAGATAATACTTTTATTACTAGTCTGAGCTTGTACTGAATGCAAGAGACTGTTTATATTTGCAATGGATGGTGACTATTATGCAAATTATCTGTCTATTACCTGTCAATAAATTCACTTGGATTTATTTTCGCCGAAAGGAGTGATTCAGTAAATACATTCAACTCACCAAAAATCAGTGAAAATAAATTCCATACAAAATACCCAAATAGTCTTTTCAGTGAAAATTAATTTCAGTGAAAATAAATTATTTCACGATATGTCTTTGGCTGATTAATTAAAACATAGCTTTCAAAGCAATGACATGTGCTTTTGTTTTTAATTAACAAAAATTGATTTTTTACAACCTATAAAAACATTCAATTCACTTTTTTTCCTTGCTCCTTGTAGTCCAGCATTGAAATACAAAAAAGTAGAATTTTGAGTTTCAAAGCAAAAAAATGTGTACAGCATCCTTAAAAGAACTAACTACCTGTATTTCTGGAAGAACTAACTACCTGTATTTCTGGAAGAACTAACTACCTGTATTTCTGGAAGAACTAACTACCTGTATTTCTGGAAGAACTAACTACCTGTATTTCTGGAAGAACTAACTACCTGTATTTCTGGAAGAACTAACTACCTGTATTTCTGGAAGAACTAACTACCTGTATTTCTGGAAGAA